GGGGGGGGCAATGGGGGGAGGTGACGAGGCTCGGGGGGCAATGGGGGGAGGTGACGAGGCTGGGGACAGTCGGGAGCTCCCCAGGAGACTGGGTGCAGGCCTCGGCCGGCGCCGCTCGGTACCTTTCACCCCCGCCATGGTCGCGGGGAGCAGAGAACGGGGAGCGAGCTCCGCTTTTTGGGGCGCCGAGCGGATCTGCGGGCTGCGGCTACTTCCGGCTTCCGGTGGCGGAGACACGCCCCCCCCCTTAGTTCCGCCCCGGCCCAACCCACGTGGCCACAGAGGACAGGCGCCGTTAAAGGGCCAGCGGCTCCACGCTGACGCCTCAGGCTCAGCCCCGCCTCTGCCGCACCAGAGGGAGCCCGTGTCTGTCCCCGCCCGGCAGGGGGTGGAGCCGCGCTTGTCCGCGTCCCCCCCGTGAACCAACCGTCGGTTCGCACTGGAACGGCGGGGGCTGTTTGGCGCCAAAGCCCCGAACCTCTGCAGCGAGGTTGGACCGCGAGCGGGCTCGTCCGCAGCCGCCCGCTCTCCACCGCAGCCCGCCCGGGCCAGCTGCAGAGGGAGGGCGACAAGGCCCGGGGTGGTTCCTTGCCAGCTGCATTCGAGGCCGGTGGCTTGGGCCTTAAAGCAATTCTCACCTGAAAAGAGCCTTAACACAAAAGTTATTTGTCTAGACGCCGCCTTGTAGTGTTGCCCCTGCCTTGGCTCCTCTAAGGAAACAGTCCCACAGAAGTCAGCTGGTTTGAATTGAATAATAAAGTTGTGGTCTACAGCCCACTGATGGTACGAACCAGAGGTACCGCAAATCCGGATCAGGGGTTACCACCCAATTAAAACATGAGCACCAAATTTATTAATTTGTCTCTTATAGAAAACCAGCCTCAAGATTATCCAAGTGCGCTACAACTTATTACTTAATTAGATCAGTCTGGCTGAAAGTCATAGTCACTGACATGGGCCCATTAAATGAGGTTTGCCATTTGTATGGTAGCGCAGTAGGAGTAGAGAAGGATAAACCTAGCAAAACAAAACAAATTGGTAGACTTTTTGGCAGCTGAGAAATTACACACTCGTTCTTGGTGTATGTTTGATAGAAATGGAGGCAATATGAAACGTTATGAATACTATAGGAGCTGCAGTGTATTAACCTATGAATACTGATATATACCAATGGTACCAGGTCAGTGAGGGGAAGTTCCTCTGTATTTAGGGTGACCAGATGTCCCAATTTTATAGGGACAGTCCCGATTTTTGGGTCTTTTTCTTATATAGGTTCCTATTACCTCCCACCCCCATCCCGATTTTTCACATTTGCTGCCTGGTCACCCTATCTGTATTGGGTTAGAAGACTTTCTTGTGTGAATACATTGGTCTAATTCTTATTGGGGTTAGGGCAGTATTTATTATATGCCTATACTGCTTGAATTCAATGGGAAACTGCACAGGAAGGCAAAACAATGTCTTTCTAGATACAAATATGTATGTACACAGTAAAGACAAGGCGGGTGAGGTAATATCTTTTTCTGGACCAACTTCTGCTGGTGAAAGAGACAAGCTTTGGAGGTACACAGAGTTCTTCTTCATGTCTGGGAAAGGCACTCAGAGGTCTTGTCTACACTACAGACTTATGTCAGTATAACTACGTCGCTCAGGGTATGAAAAATCCACACCCCTGAGCCACAGTTATAACCGACCTAACCCCCCATGTAGATAGCGCTATGTTGTCTGGAGAGCATCTCCCACAAACATAGCTACCACCTTTCAGGGAGGTGGATTAACTATGCTGATGTAAGAGCTCTCTCCCATCATCTTAGAGCGTCTTCATTAGAGCGCTACAGCTGCACTGATGCAGTGTTTTAAGTGTAGACCGGCCCAGAGTGTCAGAGCTAAATACAAGGGTTATTGGGTTACAGATTGTTGTAATGAGCCATAAATCCAGTGTCTTTATTATGGCCATAATTTTTGGAGCCTAGCAGAATTATGAATTAAAGTTCCCAGGCTAGCCTTTTGAAGGTGTTGTGCAGATTTCCTTTGAGGATGAAGACAGAGGTCAGAGATGGTACACATTAGGAAGATAGTAGGACCAGCTTCAAGATCCTATATCTTGTCTCCAAGACAGCGTAAGCCTTGTTTTGCCGGGCTGGTAACTAGAGACTAAAAACCTAGAGTTAAAAAGTACTGCGTAGGAGAAGGGCATTCAGTGGTGAGCAGCTGTCTCGGCAGGCAGACTGCAGAGGGAATCTGAAGGAATAGGGATTTTCCACACCCTGGGAATGGTGAGCATTAGGGAAAAGCAGGCATACTTAGGCTGGTTTATTTTAAAGATTTATTTTCTCTTAAGTTCATTTGTTCTAAATAAGTGATACTTTGCTTTAAAGAAGCTACTTGGTCACCCATTACTGCTGTTCTTGGCCCTGAGGTAGTAGAATTGCAGGGTCTGAGCCCAAGTCAGGGCTGTTGCTAAGGTAATCCTTGTGGATACACAGGGGACTAGCACCCAGCACCTGGAGGGGGTATACTCAGAGAGATCAGGAGATCTGTGAGGTGCAGTTAGACCAGTAACAGTAGCAATGTTTAATTGAGAAAAGCTGCATGAAGGTAGCATATGCACCATGATGTAAAAGTGACCTATATAGAACAGTCCTTTGGTGACTTCTTATAAAGTAGGAATAAGGCCTTGGCTGGCACTAAATGAAGTGGAAGGAACCTCGAGTAAGTGTGTGCATGCATTTTTCCTTAAGATGTTTAAATGTAAAGATGGTGCCCAGCCCAACCCCTAGTTAGCAGGACACAGGAATCAACTTTTCATTGGTTTACTTGTACTCTACCTCTTTTGATACAACAAACAGAGGAAGAGTTGTTATTTGCTCTTCATTGACCTGTGGGGTTGGGCAGGGCAGGGCAGGGCAGGCATGCGGAGTAGTGTGTTGATGTACATAGGGAAGGCCTTCATATCCTCCTTTCTTTCAGTGGAACTTTCCTGGAGGTACTCTGCAATCCTCTCCTGAATGGCTGGCAGCCTTATTTCTTCCTCCACTGTAGGCAGCTTTTCCGTACCACTCCACAATCAGTTTGGCTGGCACCATTGCAATAAACTGGGTAACAGCATTCCAGCCCAGAAGGCTTCGGGAACCAGCAGCATCTGTGCTCTCTGCGTATGTCTGACCCTCAGGAGATAACAGTTAAAATCACCACCACCGGTAGAAAATAGTGCCAGTACTCCATACTATTGCCTGGTTCTTGTAACCATGGGAACAGGAGCCAAGATTTTATTGTTTCATTCAACCAAAAAATTCCCTCCTCGTTTCACCCCACCCTCACGCCGGTGGGCCATGCTCCCCATGGCTGTGGCTGGAGGGCTGTACTGTGATGCTCCAAAGCTGAAGTGTCAATAAGCCTGGCTTAGATAAAAATTTTGTGGGGAAAAGGAAAGGGCACTCTGAAACGTAACTCTTGCTTTCCATTTGGACTGTAAATACAATGGTACATCTATTTTATCTGTAGCTACTGCCATTGCAGCCTTCTAAGGTGCCCCATCCCACACCCATCAAACACCTGAACCTGCTAGCATTAGGGTTCCTCTGGGTAGAGTATTTGGCGGTAGGGCATCCTGCCCTAGGGTTCCTAGGGAGAGTAGTAGGAGCTAGGGTGAGGGTTCTTATGGAAAGGGCTTTCCACCTTAGGGATAGTATTCCTATAGGTAGGATACTTGGAGCTAGGGTGAGGGTTCCTATGGGAAAGGCTCCCTGCCCTAGGCTCAGGGTTCCTATGAATAGGGTACTTGGAGGTATGGTAGGAGGAGAAAGAAGAGAACATGGGAGACTATGGTCAATAAGATACTGCAAGCCACTGCTACATGGACTGTGCTCAGAGGGCCTGGTGGGTGAATACAACAGAAACCGGGGCTCCGGCAGCCAGGCTCGAGCCCTTTAAAGCACCGCCCAAGCCCGGCTGCCTGAGCCCCGGGGTAGCAACAGCAATGATCGGGTGGCGCTTTAAAGGGCCGGGGCTCCCCGCAGCAGCAGGAGCCCCGAGCCCTTTAAAGTGCCGCCCGAGCCCTGCTGCCGGAGTCCCGGGGTCTTTAAAGGGCTGCCCGAGCCCCGCTGCCTGAGCCCAAGGGTAGACGGCAGGGCTCGGGCGGTGCTTTAAAGGACTCCCGACAGCGGCAGGAGCCCCGAGCCCTTTAAAGCGCTGCCCGAGCCCAGCTGCCAGAGCCCTGGGCCCTTTAAAGCGCCAGCCTGGGGAAGCCGGTCTGGTCTGGCACGGCGTACCAGCTCTTGCTGGTTTGCTGTACTGGTCCGTTCCGGCTTACTTTCACCTCTGACTACCCTAGCGTCCTGAATATACCTCCTCCTCCCAGGGAGTGACTAGAGCCTGTCTTCCTGCTACACCCAGCTCCTGGGCTTTACACAGGCCCTTCCAGTTCCTGCCCAGTTGAGTCTGCTTCCACTTAGCAGCCACTTCACCACCTAAATCTCTCCCCTTGTTGCTGTTTAAGTGGTTGATTCCTCCCACCCACCCCATTCAACCCTCTCAGGGCCAGTAGGGGGCAGGGCTCAGAGCTGCAGCCCGGCCATGGTGAGCCGTGCTGGCACCTGTAGGGGAGCCATGGACCCTCCACCTGCCTGGGGGCACAAGCTGGGGGCTGCTCTTGGCATGCCTGCATGGCTCTTAACATAGCCAGGCTGCAGCTCTGTGCCCCCACCCCCAGCCAGAGCCAGAGCCAGATCAGGGAGAACTGCATGGGGAGCCCCCACCCACCCTACTTTTGGGAAGGCTCCGATGCCCTGGCCAGGAGTCATAGTCCTGCATAGCAGGAGACAATTATTAGCCCTACAAACTTGCATGACAATAGACCCCACTGTGGATTTTCCAATTCCAAACTGATTACCTACTGACTGGTAGCAATTTGGCATTGCCAGGTTCCAGAGTATGATCACTACTCACTTTTCAACTATCCATGCAGCTTTCATTGTGGTATCCATGCGAAGGAGGGCTGGTGTTTGCTTGGCCCACAGACCTAGGAACATGGTCTTTCACATTGAAAGTTCTGCAGCCACTGCTCATTGTCCCAGACCTGTATTATGATGTGATCCCACCAGTTCATAGTTGTTTCTTGGGCCCAGAAGTGGTGCTCCACCACTGGCAGCTGCTCCGTGAATGCCACCAAGAACCTTGAATTGGTTTTCACTACGTCCCTCAGCAATCTGTCCTTGAAGAAATAGTCATGTCGCCCCGTTGTTGTGGTTCTCCCTGGGGCTCTGCAAATAGCGGAGATCCTTGGTCCTGTGTTTGCAACATTCAGGATAACAGCGCAGAGCTCCGGGGGCTCCATGCTTCGGTCAGAGATGGTGGAGAGCAAAGAGTGCCAGGTGGGTTTGTAGGATTTAAAACACACACAAAAGTTACAGGATGTTATTATGGGACAGAGAATTGCCTGATGGGAGCTTGACCCCTAGCTCCTAGTCACCCCTGCAAGACTTGATTTCTGCCCAACCATGCATTGTGAACATTTTCCAAAAGACAGTGCACCAGTTGGTGGTGAGTGCTACATTGGGATATCTATCCATGGTACACCACACTGTGCTTTGACACAAGCATTCCTGGTGAGTACAGGCAGCGCTGACCCAAGCAGCGAAGTGCTCACACACATAAACAACACAGTAACTGCAGCTTTCCACCAACATAGCCTGCATTGACCAAAGTCTGTAGTGTAGACATGGCGCTAGGAACAAAGCCATAAGCACAGCAAGCACAAACATACAAAACCTCATTTCCACTTACACCCATCTAGATATATACATAAATGAAATCAGACTCTGGCCTTTTAGGTTTTTTTAATATAATTGCTTTTTTAAAAAAGCAATTTTCTAGTTGTGTATTTTTGCAATATACCTGTTCTTCATATGCATCAAGATATTATTGCCTTATTAATCTAGTTTGACTTCAGCAACAGAAACCAAAACTGACTAGCTTCCTTGCTCAGGTTGTTTGTGCTAGAACAGTGGTTTTCAAACTGGGAGTATATGAGAAAAATCCTGTAATGGCAGACAACACATTTTATTTAGTATAGAGGTTTTCAAACAGTGGGGCATGCCCTGTAGGGGGGCACAGAGGAACATTGGGGGTGGGGGTGGGAAAAGGGTAAGCAGCAACACCAGTTACTTCTTTGAGTTACTATTTTTGGTTGCACCTTCTAACCCAGACAGGCTGGGTGGCCCGCTGAGGGGAGTCAGGGAGTGGAGGTGGCACTCCCTTCCCAAACCCTGCGAGGCAGGGCTGGCCTGAGCCCCCTGGCATCGCCGCTCCCCTCTCCCCCCCCCCCCATTTTCCGCTGCACCCCCACAGTTTGAAAACCTCTATTAGCAGTTGCTAAATGGAAGGCAACATTCTGGGGAGGGGGACACATGCCCCTGCATGCTCCCCCACATTGCCTCTTCCTATCTCAGATGGGGATATGTGGTAAACTACATTATTTGGAAAAGGGGACGCAGCCTAAGAAGTTTAAAAACCATTGCTCTAGAGGAAATGTAGCCTATGCATAAGTCTCCAGGGAGCACCCAGTGTTGATTTGTTTCTCCAGAAAAAAGTAGCAATAGTTACTTCAGGTGCATAGCTGAGTGGGTCCATTCCTCCTGAGACGTGATTAAAAGGGGGTCTGTTTAGGCACATGTAAAAATCTTGCAAAATACAGTTTTAATTTCATCACTCGCTCTCCTGCTTATACTGTATTTACATCGTTTTATTCCCCCAAATTGTATTCAGAGTAATAAAGTGGATGTTTCTTTACAAGCACAGAACATACCTGAATTTATTGAATTTGAGCTTTTTAATATATATACAAATGTTTTAGACTAGTCACATTTCATTTTGAGTATATAGCATATTTACAAAAAAATTACAATAATTTTAGACAAACAGTAAACCTGAACATTGATAAGCTCGGTCACTACAAGATATGAAAATAAATGAATTGCCGAGTTAACTAATTTTGAGATAAGTAGGTCCCAAAACTTTCATGCATCTATAAAAACATTAGGTTGGAGAAGAATCAAAGTTTAAATTTGGGGAGGTTTTTTTTTCCCTGGGTTATTTGAAGTTTAATGATGGTTTGTATTTTGTGAACATTGAGGTGTTATCCAGAGCTCTCTGCCATGACAAACTTGATACAAAGCGAATGTAGTTTCTCATTTCAAAAATGTACATTACATCAATGAGATCCTTTTATTATATAGGCATAGTTCACACAATATCTACAAACGTGAATGAGAAACAAAATAAATCAACAAACCACAGGAACATGATTCACATTCCAGTTATCTTTTTAAATAAGACAAGCACATACTGGATCAAAAACATTTCATAATATGTTAATAAATAACATCATTTGTTATGGTTATCTTGAACATTTTAAGGTCTTGTATATAAAAAGGAAAAAGTGTGTGTTGGTATCACATTGTCAGTTAATGGTAATAAATAATGGACCAATACAACAAAAAGATGAAGTTTTATACAGAAAGTAATGTCCTTTGACATGCTGCCTTTGCTGTAACTATTTTGCCACTGGAAAATTAAAATTTAAAGTAAATAAACAAAAATGGATTGTCTTTAAAAATACCAGCTTTCCAAAGATTTTCACATCAGATATAGATCTTTTCCTTAAAGAATTAATATGGAAACTTTTCTGCCCATCCTATGCATATGCTGAACTTCTAAAGCTAAAGCAGATATGAGATTTCATCTCATCCATGAAGTGTGGTAAATAAACCATTATTTCTAGTTACTTTACAAAAGGAGAAATAGCCTGGGTCAAAGGAACTTGCCGCATAACTAGATAAGAAAGGCTTCAGCATCAGACACGCCTGTATGTTGCCATTATTGCTGTGGACCAATGCAACTTTTAAATATGCAAACTGCCCTGTTACTTCTAAAAAGGCCAGACAAATTCCACATGCCTGGATAACTTGCGTACTGTGATCTGCAGGGTGAAGTGGTAACAGATTCCATTTCTATCATGACCCCTTGCCCAAGTGCTCTGAGAAACTTTTAGACAGTTGGTTGGAACTGATAAAACATGGTGAGCCAAGATCTTCCAAACCCTCAAATGGGAAATATTTTTAACTAATGTGGGAAGCTTCTGAAGCAGCAGCATAACTGACATAGCCCATGTTTTTTAAGATTGCTATCAGACAGTTCTACTTATGGGTAGAGCTTCACCAGGAATGTGGTAAATGCTTACCATTCCTGTTCTACAATTATGGACTCACCCCACGCCCACACAGTTCACTATTCCCTGAACATTGCATCTTAACAGGTGTTTAGCTTAGGCTGGTGTAACATCAAATATTTGATCTTCAGTTTAAGTCACTCTTTGCTCTACGGTGCTGTAGAATTTGTTCTAAATATTTCACTGCTTGGCTGTAATGTGAAGTACAGTTCTCTGCTTAAGGCGTTAAGTTGCCATATTGACTTATCCAGTTGCTCAGTTTTGTCTTTGAGAATATCCTAAAAGTGATGAGATATCAAATGAGGATTAATTATTATTATTAGGTGCCTAAACCAGGTCCCTGGAGGTGAACACTTACATTTGGATCTCAGCTTGGAAGGTTGGACATAATCTCCAGTTATTACACTCACTTGAAGTGCGGGGTCTCACTAGAATTCATTGTCAGAAGTGGGACGTCAAGTGTCCCAAGACAAAACAGTTCCACCTTTGTCTAGAATGCATTCCTTCCTCACCCCACTTAATTCTGGAAATATGAAATACTTCCAAAGTATTATGAGCAATTTTAGCTACACAGGTCCCCTTAGGAGACATGTGGCTAAAATTTTCCTGTGCTTTTGAAATTTGTGTGATGTATGTATGAGGGAACATCCATTTTGTTCTTCTTCGTGATAAGTGTTAGGTTCATGAGCAATTTTGAAACTTCCAAATTTCCAGCCAGATTTTGGTTATCTGTGAAAATGGCAAAGTTGTGATCAGAGACTATACAAGCATGAGCACAGGTCTGAGAAAGTAGCTTAATATAAAGGCTTTTGGCCTTGGTTTTCAAATTCTGACCAGGCATCATTTAGCTCCATGAAGATCATCTTTGCATACTGTTCATATGGCTGCCCTGTAGCCTAAAAGAGAACAAAGTAAAGAATCCATCACCCATCTGCTAAACCAGAATACATACAACTGACATTTAAACACTGTCGTTTAAAGTAGTTTGTTTGTTTTTCTTGAAGTAAAGGGCTTCTCAGTTTGCTTTTGCTTCACTAAACTTACCTGCTCTTACTAGGGTTACTCACCCTGAGTACAGCTTAATGAAACTTGATGGCTCTCCCGCTCCCCCATAGCGTTTCAGTATACGAGGGTGCCTCACAGCTAGTCTGGAGGCTGCCTGCAACTCCAGAATATAGCACTGCAGCCCCAAGATGAGGGCAATGAGGGTTTTAACCTCAGGCTTTCGTGAAAGGACACTGAATTGGCCATCACCTTACACGCAATGAAGGGTGCTGCTGTCGGACAGCCAGGGCCGGCTCCAGGCACCAGCTGAGCAAGCTGGTGCTTGGGGCGGCAGATTGTTGGAGGCGGCATTCTGCCCAATCCTAGGGTGGCACGGATGCTTTTTTTTGGGTGCGCTTGGGGCAGCCAAAAAGCCAGAGCCGGCCCTGCTGACAGCAGGTCATTCCAACTCCCCAACAGAAGCATCTCCCTCCCTATCTTGCAAGCCTCACAACCCAAACATTGTTCTCAAAGGTCATCCCTGGTTATGCAAACCCAGTCTTGGGGCCACGGGTAGAGCAAAACCAAAGCCACCATCCTCTCAAAGCATCCCCAGACTACCAGGGATTAATGGATCAAATCTGAACATCAATCTCCGGTTTCATGTCACACTGTTGACAGACTGTAGCCTGTCTTCTATTTTCAATCATTATAAAAGTAAAGATCACTTTAAAAAAAACAACTCTTCCCATCTGCATTCATTATAAACTAATGCTCTGCAGGACATTTGATAGTATGGTAGCAGTTCATGGATAATCTGCCTTAACAACTAAAATGTGAGGATGAACCAAAACCCTGAATCTGAACATCCTTGTATTTGGGGGAAGTTTGTACCCAATTTGAACCGCCTGAGGCTCATTTAAGGGGCTGGTCCTGAGAACACAGTTGGCACTTTTTGGATTCAGTTTCCCTATTCAACCATTTAACGAGTTGGTGCAATCACATCTCATGCTTTCTAGCTCACTTTTCAATTGTTCATGAGATTAGTTCTTTAAAAAAAAAAAAAAAAAAAAAAAAAGATATACGTACTTTGTCAGGATGAACAACAAGCACTGCTCTCCGGTAGACCTTCTTCACTTGTTCTGGAGTTACAAGATCTGCCATGCCGATGGGTTTCCATTTAGTCTCTCCAGCCCATAACACTGTGTGCATCGTTGACAGCAGTGCTCTTATGTTTCTCTCCTTCCCTTCAATCCATTCTAGGATCTGGAGATAAGAGACAATTCTCAACAAGAAAGCATCCATAACTGATACGAAGAGTGTCAAATCCACATTTTGCCATTTAGATGGCAAGGGTTTCCAAGGATCACTCCCCCGCAACACTCAGGTCCAGATTTTAGAAAAGGTTGAAGAACACGTTATCAGAGAGTCTCAAAGTGGGGAAAGTTTTTTTTCTTTTTAAAAAGCACCTTTTACAAGGCTTGACTGTCTTTTTATAGCAAAAGCATAGGTGGGAGGAGGCTTTAAAAGCAAGTAGTGTTTATCTAGGCAGCAAAACCTATAAAGTTTGAGGAAACGATAGGATGAGTCCCGTTTTTCCAATTTTTGAAGCATCCGTTTAAGGAGTCTCTGGTGTATTGGGGTGGGGAGGAATAACAGTTTAGATTCCACTCACCTTCTGTACATGACTCATATGAGTACAGTCTCGGCGATAAGTATTTCAGGATCATCAAAGTGACTGCACCACCACTGTAGCCTTTTGTGGCAGTCTGACCTTGTTACTTCTCACCACCACCCTCCCTTGGGAATAGATTGGTGGACTTCTCATGGCAAGCTTTGATGCATAACTAATGACTGAACAGCCCCTTTAAGCATTTAATTGTGAGGGGACTACCTTGGAGAGACGATAACTATGTCCCAGCGGGGCAGTTCACCAGACACCGGTGAATGCAGGCACATAACTTTCAGAAAGAAGATCAGAAACTGACTGAGCCAGTACCACTTTCTTTCCTCCCCTCTTCTCGTGTTCCACCTTTGGAATCTGTTCCTTTTTTAGAAAGTAATTAAGTCATTAAAGAGTCTGCACACATTTTGCCCTACAATACCTTCCTTATGACAACCTTCGGTCACTCCCACAAAGCACTGAACGGGTACCTGATTTAAAAAAGGATCTACAGAATAGCATCTTTCGGAAGGGCATATTCAGTGCTAAAGGGGAATGGCCAATAGCCGTCTGTGACGTTGGACTCTATATGATTTTATGAAAGTATGCTGAGGAGTGTGAATATAATGTAACAAAAATAGGCTTCATGCAAAAGGTCTCTTGTAAGGTATCATTACACAGCTTATAATCTACTGAATGTGGTCATCCTATTTGTATAAATGTATCACTCTTGTATCTGAAACTAGAAATATGAAATACTGAGGGCCTACTGTAATTATGCAAAGTGTGGGCCATTAATAGTGGTTTGGAATCTTGATGGCTCCCATCAACCAGGACAATTGACTGTGGATGGCTCTGTTTGCATGCAGGCCTTCCTGTGAGTCAGGCTGGGAGGAATGAAGCCTTGGGGTCTTACAGTGACATGTGATCATGTCACCCAAACTGGTGTTTTTCCATTGAGAAGGAGGGGTGGGAACCCAGAGGGACAAAGGATTCCCGCCTTATGCAAAAGATATATAAATGGGTAGAACAGAACAAAGGGGACAGCCATCATGAGAAATCCCCTAGCTACCACCTGAGCTGGAACAAGGGCTGTACTAGGGGAAAGGATTGTGCCCAGACTAGGAAGGCGTCCAGTCTGTGAAAGAAATTTATTGAAACATCTGAGGGTGAGATTTTACCTGTATTCAGTTTTATTACCGTACTAGGCTTAGACTTGTGTGTTTTGTTTTATTTTGCTTGGTAATTCACTTTGTTCTGTCTGCTATTACTTGGAACCACTTAAATCCTACTTTCTGTATTTAATAAAAATAACTTTTTACTTATTAATTGACCGAGAGGGGGGGGGGGGGGGGGGGGGGGGGGGACGACAAACAGCTGTGCATACCTCTCTATCAGTGTTACAGAGAGCGAACAATTTATGAGTTTACCCTGGATAAGCTTTATACAGGGTAACATGGATTTATGTAGGGTTTGGACCCCATTGGGAGTTGGGCATCTGAGTGTTAAAGACAGGAACACTTCTTAAGTTGCTTTTAGTTAAGTCTGCAGCTTTGGGGCACGTGGTTCAGATCCTGGGTCTGTGTTGGAGCAGATTGGTGTGTCTGGCTCAACAAGACAGGGTGCTGGAGTCCCCAGCTGGCAGGGAAAGCAGGGGCAGAAGTAGTCTTGGCACATCAGTTGGCAGCTCCAAGGGGGTTTCTGTGATCCAACCCGTCACACCGTCAGCTGACATTTACAACTCTAAATTGCGCAGCAGCGTCAGAGTTCTTCAATGTGAAACCCAGCTCTAGTAACTGTGCCTCTGGATTTGAGCAAAACGTCTCATCTTTCAGCCTCAGTTTCCCTATTTGTAAGGTGGAGATTATGTTCCCCTCAAAAGGCTGTGATGAGGATTAAGTACCATCAAAAAGTGAGAGAGATGGAATTTCGGTCTTCACTGTGGTAAATCTTTCCTTTATCCATAGAATAGGAACAGCAACTTTTTTTCCACTGCTCCTCAGCTCGGACTTGGAAGACCCAAACTTAGGAATCGGAGGGTAATTCCCTCTGTGTCCATTTATTCTTTGACATCTCCGCTGAGCTCACCAATAAGAGTGCCACTAGGAAGAGGACTGACCAGCTCACACTCTGTTGGAAACATTTGACCGCTACTGCCCTAAACAGGATATGAACCAGCCAGCCAGATGGGCAAGGCCCTATGCTATTAGTCCCCAGAGTACCCAGGTGACCTGAAACTAGATATAGATCTGTTGCTATGTTATACTGGCACTTAGCCTCCACTTAAATCTGTGCAGATTGAAATCCAGATAGGTGGCAATGTAGGGGGACCATGCCAATGATGAGCTCGCTCTCAGTCCGAATGTGCTATTCTGTCAGTATTGTGCAGACATGCACCAGGAAAGACCACACTACATGCTAGAGGTGGGTCAAGAGCCAGGTAATTTGTTATTGCTTTCTCAGACAAGTACTTTAGTGGTGGGGTGATTCAACAGCCATGAAGGCGGTTCAGCAATGTGCTATGGGGGATGGTCAGCACGACAAGGCATGGACGATATCCTGGTCACCCACTGCAGCTAAGGAAGTCCCCAGCCATAACGATTCTTCGTGCCGCTGGAGTCTGGCTTCCACAGCCAAGAGAGTGGGATTGCCCCTGTGCAACGGCTTTCTCACAAAAAATTTCCTGCACAGGTTTTGTCGTGGTCATCGATGGACTACCAACGTAACACACTCTAGTGGTTGAGCTCCATAAATTCATGCTCCATATGAAGCTTGAAATATGTACATTCCTTTGAATGTAAGGTGTATAACCAAAATAATCCTTTTACAGGAGGCTGAGAAGAGCCACATTTGGGCATGTAACTTTTAGAAGAAATGCATCTTTAGATTTCGGAGGACTTTGCCTTAAGGTTTCCCTTCATGCTGCTTAGCAAGGTACATAATCCAATAGCCAAATATGGTAGTTATACACTACATAGGCAATCTAGTAATCTTTAGCTGTTGTCAATTTCAGCTCTACTTTCCCATTAACAAGACAGACAAAAGTTACTATAAATAGTTCAACAGCTCTAAAATAAGAGATGACTCACAGAAGTAAAAAGCATCAGAAAAGGGCATTGTGAAAATCAGCTGGACTGGTGACTTCATTTGCTCTGCAAGATGCTAATGGGAAGACAATATTGCATGCACTAAACTCAAAACCAGCTGAATTACTAGAAGAATTATGTAGCCTATACTAGGTAAGAGTAATATCCAATAAGTACGAAGAAGATTACAACTACACCTCTACCCTGATATAACACGAATTTGGATACAATGCGGTAAAGCAGCACTCCGGGGGCGTGGGGCTGCGCACTCCGGCGGATCAAAACAAGTTCGATATAACGTGGTTTCACCTATAACACGGTAAGATTTTTTGGCTCCCGAGGACAGCATTATATCGAGGTAGAGGTGTAGTTATAATCAGGCTGGTATTAGTGTTCATTGTTGAATGTTTAGAACATTTTGCACCTATTATCTGCACATCCAGACTGATCCCCAAGCCTTCCACTGTCAAATTTAACATAAATTGTATTTTGCTAACGAAGTTTACTTCGTTTTTGATTGAGTTATTCCTCCTCCCACCCCATTCTACCTCGATAGCTTCAGTAGCAACATAGTTTCCCTCCTGGAATGGCTCACCCAGGACATAATCTGGCAATTCTATCAACAAGTCTGCTTCAAAGAGAAAGAATTTCAGCAGAGGAAACAGGAGAATGCTAGAGCATGTGGGATCAACAAATACAGAGAACAAAATGCAGCCCTGACTTTAGCAGGTACGGCTAACTGAAGTCCTGTGGCAGACCACTAGCCATGGCGATGTCACTGAGCAAGAAACTCAGTTTACTACAGAGACGGATCTAAACCGTAAGCTAGAACTCCAGAGCTGCAGGAACATTCCCAGAGGACTGTTCTCAAATCCAGAGCATATTTGAGGATTTACTGAAAGACCTGAACACTAGTTCTCCTACCCCCTCATTATAGATGGGGGAGCAGGAAAGGAGGGGGAGGAAGGAAGAGGGAAAAATCCTAGGTGAAAGAGCAGCTTTTACTTGGAAAGGCTGCTTTTGAAGTTACAAGAAGAATTCTCCAGCATGCCACCTTATGAAGCTTCTAGGTTTTTTTGTACCAGAGAAAAAACAGATTTGCTCAGCTCTATTCTGGACTAACATTTTAAAAGAAAAAAAATTTACTGTACTGAAGTGCTCTTTATTCTAAATAGCAAAAAAAAAGTTGTATTTTGGGATCTTGGATTTGAGAATTGGGATTTTCCAAAGACAAACTTCCCCAAATTGTGATATGTCAGCAACCAGAGCATTTGCTGGTGGGCTCCAGAGAGCTGACTAGTCACCTACTGCGAGCTCTTCATTTCTAGCTGCTAAGTTGTATTAAGATATCAAATGCATTTTTAGCTGCTTGCCAAGTGTGTCTTTTCCATGCAAATGTAACTCACTGGTGTGTGATACACGGCTCCCTCAGAACCCAATCTGCACATGATGCAAGTCGGCTACAGACACAGCTAAAGAGATGTGGCTCTTTAGTTCAAACTGTAGCAATTCAAGCTTTCAGCTCTGGGGGTCCCCAGCTCAATCCCGCAGTGTGCTGGCCCAGATGGCAGATCTCACATAAGTAGTTAAGGATTGTGAGTGGAAAGCGAGGGAGTTCGTGATCATTTGTATTTAAATGTGGCTCTACTATGACAGTTTGATGCCTACCTGCAGGGCTGGTGCTTCTACCTAGGCGGTCACCTAGGACAGCAGGATTTGGAGGGGTGGCCTTTTGCCGTCCTCAGCGGAAATTCAGCGGCGGGAGGTCCTTCCGCTCTGGGTCTTCGGTGGAAATTCGGCGGTGGGTCCTTCACTCGCTCCGGGACCCGCCGCCGAAGTGCCCTGAAGACGCGGAGCGGAAGGACCCCCGCTGCCGAATGCTCAGAGGAGGAGCGCTGCCGCCTAGGGCGGCAAAAACCCTGGTGCCGCTCCTGCCTAGATGAGGAATACAGTGTGACATAGTAAATTTTAGAAGATCTTGGACCCCAAGCATGAAGTAGATGAGTGCATACTAGAATGGAGTGAGTGCTAAGTGAATACAGGAATACCATAAACGAAGGCATTAGTAGTTTCTGGCACAGGAGTTTGTTCTTAAAAACCAAGCTTGTGGCAAGTTAAAAGTGACTAGTTTTACTTATTGTAAGGAAGAAACTGAGCTAGATTTCAGTCTTCAGCTTGCTGGAAGGAAAGTCGTTCCAAATGTGGATACAGTTATCACACTACAACAAGAATGCAGCTTACTTTTAACTTTTCAGGGTCCATCTCCTTAGCCATTTCTTCTTTTCTCATTTCAGCTATTGTTCTGGGTCCCTTTCTGTCTTTGTGGGCATTAAAGCCTTGACCAGATAATAGATCTTCAAAATCAGCAGACACTTTTGGTTTTGAGTCTTAATAAAAGTCAGAAAGCTTAAGTTAGCGTCTACTCTTGTAAATATGCAGTATGATTAAAGAACATTTTCTTCAAGTTGCCCACCAAAGCAATATTCTGATCACCAAGTATTAAGAGGTTATGTGCTTTAACAGTCTGTATGTAAATTCTCACCTCATGATGTAGAAACCACCTCCCCCACCCCCCAGAGCATAAGGCATTTTCAGAAATGGCAACTAGTTGCATGTATTAAGTTGGATACACTTGGGCTCCAGATTCAGGCATTCCAAGCACAAGGCTCCAGTTGAAGGGAAACACATGTTCTGCAATCAGACATGTCTAGCTGGACACTCAAACAGAGCCACACAAAATCTACGGCCACTTTTGGAACATAAGAGCAACCATGCTGGATCAGACCCAAGGTCCATCCAGCCCAGTACCCTGTCTTCCGACAGCAGCCAATGCCAGGTGCCCCAGAGGGAACAAATCGAACAGGTAATCATCAAGTGATTCATCCCATCGCCCATTCCCATATGGCTGTAGGTGTGTTAGGAATGCAGAATTTCCGGAATACCACCGAACTTCAGAATCATCATTCCCCTCCGTCTCTCCCCACCCAAGTACAAAATGTAATTGCCCTTGGAGATCATACAATGATCAGTTTGGTTGTATTTACTCTGGTCATAAATTGTTCATCTCTTTTTGCAATGAGCTACATTAAATAGCAGCAAACATTTTGGAAGTCATTGGGGGCGGAGGAAAAACACTTACCAGCATTGGCTAGTCCTTTCCCACGATCGTTTTGCCCACCAGGCATTGCTGAAAAGCTCACATTGTAGTTGGGCCTGTTCTGTGGAGAGGCATGTGGTATGTTTTGCTGGGATTTGGACTGTGATTGTTGCCAGGAGTATCCGGCACCTTGCTGCCAACCACTACCTCCCATTGTCTGGGGAGATGGTTTCTGTGGAGAGCCCATAGGAGGGAATCCGCCACTTATTCCTGTCGGTGTGGTTGGTTTGCTGGCAAATGAAGACCCCCCTGCGATATAGGAAGAGGGGAGGAAAAAAGAAAAGTTTAGCAGCATGTTCCAATAGACAGGGCACTGGTCTTAGAGCTGGGAACAGAACCCAGTGTCCGGACTCAGCTATTGCCCTGTTGTGTGACCTGGAGCAAGTCACTTCACTGGTTTCCTTTGGTCTTAGTCTATATTTAGTTTGTAAGCTCTCTGGAGCAGGGAATTTCCTTTGCTAAGTCTATACTGCACCTAGCAGAAAAGGGCCCTGACCTGGATTGGAACCTCTAGAGGCTATTGTAATACAAACTAACAATAAGCACAGGTAGCTCCTTGTGTCCTACACATGGTGGACAGTCAGGAACCAAACAATTTCTTGTGGTGGTTACAATGCCAAGCAACATTTACTAAAACATTTGCCGTGAGATTGTATGCGTAGACACACACTACTTCCTGAGGGGCATAAGGTACCAAAATGGCCAAAACTAAAATAATGATGTAACCAAAAAATGTTATCCTTCGGAGCTTAAAGCATCAAGCTGAATTCAGATACATTTAATGTAAGTTTGGTTAAGTTCATGTGACCTAAAAAATGTGAACTACGCTGAACATTTAAAGTCTGGTCCATATCCTGTAGAGTCCAACCTCTTGCTTGTTTTTAGAATCCATCACATCACTACACAGGTTCACTAAAGCAAGAACAACAGCTGCTCTCTTACAGAATGCCTGGCACTTGTTTGTTTTGTTCCAGCAGAGCAAGTGGCAAGCCAGCAGAGGGAACTGGGAAACCTAATTTCAGAACCATGCGGACATTGACACAGATGAAGAAATGAAACGGCAGCCAAAGGCATGTTAGTTTGTCCAATGTAAGAAGCAGAGGGTGGGAGGAGCTGGCAAATGAAAAAAAAAATATTCTGTGTTTACTGATGTGGAAGCGGGAGAAAGGCAGAGATATTGACCACATGAGAGGGTCTTAAAACCAACGTGATCAAAAGTCTTTCCAATAGTAGCGTTTGGAGGCCTCTGATCATTTTGCAGGACAACCTAAGCCAAAAGCATTTATCTAGGAGTCAGAAAGTGAAGTGTCATTTGCAGGAAGACACAAATTAAGGCAGGATCCTTGGGGTTCCAGGCCCCAGCTTTAGGGGAAGCGTGGATGGAGCAGCGAGTCAGGGCAGAGCAGCAGGCACAGCAAAAAGGCATAGCCTGGAGGGGAAGATCAAAGCCCAGGCAGAAGAAATAAAGCCCACTGAAAGGGCAGGTGGAGAATCATTCCCAGGAACCCCTGAAATTTTGGGGGTGTCCAAAATATTGGTTGAGCCAGGCCCCATTTGTTGTTTTATCACGTTTGTTGCCATCAGATTTAAGTGAAGGATAAAAAAAAAAAAAAAAAAAAAAACCTCAAGGCAGCAGCTCCTCGCAAGTTAAAACCGGTCATTGGCGAGTCATTGACTTCATGTTATACCTTACAAACCCATGCTGCCTAACAATGGTGAGGTCCCAGCCAAGTCTTCCAACAAGCACCTGTAGATGCAAACTCAGAAGAAGTCCAGCTTTGAAGAGGCATAAAGAATCTAGTCATCCCCTCCCTTCTTCGAAACAGCTGCTTTCCAAAACCCATCTCTGAGGTGTCAGTGTAGTAAACTGCTCCAACGCTCCCTCCCCCCAGAAATACTGCTGCCTCAAATCCCAAGCTGCCCATTCTAACTCAACCCTTCCACATTAGCATTTCTTCTAAACTGGCCAGCCATGTGATTTGAGGTATTAAAAAACAACCTGCTAAATTTGCACCAAGAGCCCCCAAATCAGCAAATGGATCCAGAGTTTGTGGTTTGGACTGATGAGTGGGAGTGCTATGGAGAGATCCTGTGGGACTTGTAGCGGCTGACTTGCTTCCCATACCAAGGCCACCTACAGAGAGAAACAGAGTTTGTAAAACCAATCTGTAACATTAGCTCTGCTCAAACTTACCATTAGGATTCACACTAGTATATTACCATCTTAATCTTTAAGTCAAGCATGCTCTTGTAGAACATCGAGGTGCTTTGTATATTGAACTGACATTTTATACTTTGAAGAGTAAATGGTTCATCTCTCTCACAAGTCAACACCAACTATGCAAGAAAATATTAGGCTTGGTATTCTCAGATTGCTTCTACAGCAGCCATGGTATTTTGCGATCATATGTAGTGGGGGCGGGGGGAAGTGAAACACTTTAAAAGCTTTGAATTAATTTTATGTAGTGGCTAGCCATTAGCCACAGTTAGGACTCCACAATGTATTTGAAGATCTCAATGGCTGAGAAGTTTGCATTTCATGAGACCTGCTACATTTTGCAGGTTTTTTGCTCAAAATGAGGACCATTTTCAATCAAATGGTTCAATTTTCAAGCTAAACCCTTCATCTTCAGATCAATTTTTACATTGTACCACGCAGAGTTTGGAAGTCTTGCACATTGATGCAAAAAACAGCTGTCACAGATGGTGAGAAGTAAAATTTGGAGGTTAGAAAGGGCCACACAACCTCATTTAGACTTATTTTTTTGAGAAGGGATGTGAAATTCTGCATGAAAAATGGTTTGCACTACTTCAGTGTTCACTGTTACTACAGTAACCTACAATCTTGTCACCTTCAAAGGACAGAAATTTCACATGCATAACTTCCTCCATACCTTTGAAGGAGCATGCACTAGATCCCTTAAGTTCAGGGGAGAATCTTAGTTGTGTGTTCCATCAATGGAGTAAATAAAGTTGTTGTTGTTGTTGTTGTTGTAGTAGTAATACAACATAAGTGAGTACAGTTTTAGGTAATGGAAGAAGAAACCAGCTCTCTTCAGCTAGTTGTAATATTTTCCCCATTAAGAATTCACCTTTAAAAAAAAGGGTGAGAAAGTGGTACCATACAAACCTGATTTGTTGGACCACTCCCAGCCACCTGAAACATCTGGTTGTATGGCAACCGTTGGTGTACTAGAAGCTAAACAAAACGATTGTTACTTATTAAGGTATTACAAAAAGAAAACCTAACCCAGCCTCAGAAGAAAAACAAAAAAGTAAAGAAACCTATAGTGCAGAATGAAATTGTATAGTGGTACTCTGTGATTTGGTAATGATGGAAGAGTCACGTATTGAGTCACACCTATTGTGAGTAAGGTTTCTCTTTGACCCCACCCCATTACGTTTTGTTAAGCACGGTACACAGATTTAATGTCTGTTTCAAGTGACTCAGTTGTACAAGCTGCACAGTCCAATACAAACTTCTCTGATTTGGTTAAAGGCAATGCATAAAATCAATGTGATCACCACCCATTAGGATTTTTAAGTAAATATCTGTAGCTATCAAATGAGGATGATTTTAGGCAGTTTTATTTTAGGCAACAAAGTTAGTTGGCTTGCACTCAATTTATCAGAAATTAAGATCGTGCCAGTTTGAGATGCCTATTACCACACATTAATTTACCTGAAAGAATTTAAGTCGTGACCAGAGCACAGAGATACTGTACTGGGTGGAAGGTCAGAGCAAAGTATCTAGCACATTCAACAGATGCCTTCATCTTGGCAAGTGCCAGCAGTAGAAGAATTCAAGTTTTGAAATGTTTGCGGAATCCCATATTTTAGAAGAGAGAGTGTGTCCATTAAAAACGTGACCTGTCTTGGGTAAAGAAAATAGTTCTAACCCAAGTTAGATCAGGATCATTTTTGAATTCAGTGCTTTAAAATGAAGCAAGATTTCATTCTTCCATGTATGTTACCTGCCCTGAAACCTACTACTATTTCCCTCTACCTTAGTAATGCTGACTATTTCTCCAGGCAGTCTGAAGTACTTTGGAATTCCTTTTGGGGGAGCAACACTATGATACCTTATATATTTACTTATAATCCCTTACACTTAAGCGCTTTAAATAAAATTAAAAAAAAAAAATCCAGAAATTGCTGAACTCAACTGAATGCTGCAAATCTACAGACCCTTCTATCTTTTGTTGAGCTTTTTGTACCACTCTTGAGAAAATGAGCTTCTCTCTGGAGCGACAGGCCTGTCTTGTGAAAGTAAGGACCCCCTAAATATAAACATAGCAGCACAAAGGGAAAATGCAAAATGAAAATCAAATGAAAAATGCACCTCATAAATAAGCCTCAATATCACGATGTGGTGACTTGCTTTGGACAGAAACAGCCTGCCAGAACAGTTGCTTACCAAGATCTGAACCTAGTCAACATTATAAGTTGGCACTTTCTGAACAATACAGAAATGGTGCTCCAATACCATGGTGACGGGCACTGCTCCTAGATTACATGTGTCCCCATTCCCTCCACCACGGTAGTGCATGGATTCTCTTCAGCACTGACTGCACATATCCTCCACAGGGTTCAGATGTTTGTGCTGGAAAGGGGCTGGCGAACAGGGTAACGCTCACAGAAATTTCCACCCCATAAGCCCTTTCCCCCTGACGTTTCTCCCCCAAAGATGATCTGGACCCTGGATAAAGAGTCAGGGAATTGTTTCATTAGGACAAAAACAAAAAAAGGTAGAGAAAGCAAATTGTAAAACAAAGTTCAGTTGTAACATCAGAAGTGAAACATGTACATTAAATGCAAAGCCCAGCTCTGATAGAAGGGAAGTGACATCAAATACAGCATCTTGGTGAGTGGGGGAAATCATTCAAGCTGGTCTTTACAGAAAGTAGCACAGTTCTGAGCCAGCATCATGCTTCAGAAGGAGCCAAAAGACACTCTCCTAAGCACTTCTCCATTCCAGAGCAAGCCTTAGCAGTTAAGTAAAACCTTACATCCTCCTGTCAGCAAAGATCAGCAGCCACAGAAACATTAAAGGAAAGCAAAGGTGTAACTGTATTTCAGAGGGGACAGCAAGTTGTTTCATTCTAATGAAGTGGTATAAAAATACACAGATAAACCAAACTGGGTTTCTTTAATGCAGCGGAGAGAAACAAGTGGTCAGATTTTCAAACATTATTGGACTGCACAACCACCTTCTGCCAAGTTCCCTCATTATTCTCGGCACTAGAACTGTAATTTAGTACCATAAAGAGCCAAGATACTGTTTAACTGCTTTCATTGATACAGCCGGCTCTGGCTAGGACTCAAGTGTCCAATTAACAAAGTTGATATGCCCAGTACCCTCCACCTTTCCATGTTATGGCAGAGCTAAAATACACCAGTGCCAGTGAGATAAAAAATCCCCTCTTTTGTAATACTAACTTTCCAATGAGAATATCCCACCTAAGATATCTCACAGATCTTGGGAGACAGACCAGTCCTCGCTTACAGACAGCCCCCCAACCTGAAGCAAATACTCACCAGCAACCACACACACACACACCACACAACAAAAACCACTAACCCAGGAACCTATCCTTGCAACAAAGCCCGATGCCAACTCTGTCCACATATCTATTCAAGTGACACCATCATAGGACCTAATCACATCAGCCACATCATCAGGGGCTCGTTCACCTGCACATCTACCAATGTGATATATGCCATCATGTGCCAGCAATGCCCCTCTGCCATGTACATTGGCCAAACCAAACAGTCTCTACGCAAAAGAATAAATGGACAAATCTGACATCAGGAATCATAACATTCAAAAACCAGTAGGAGAACACTTCAACCTCTCTGGTCACTCAGTAACAGACTTAAAGGTGGCAATTTTGCAACAGAAAATCTTCAAAAACAGACTCCAATGAGAAACTGCTGAACTAGGATTAATTTGCAAACTAGATACCATTAACTTAGGCTTGAATAGAGACTGGTAGTGGCTGGGTCATTACACAAATTGAATCTATTTCCCCATGTTAAGTATCCTCACACCTTCTTGTCAACTGTCTGGAATGGGCCATCTTGATTATCACTACAAAAGTTTTTTTCTCCTGCTGATAATAGCTCATCTTAATTAATTAGCCTCTTAGAGTTGGTATGGCACTTGCCACCTTTTCATGTTCTCTGTACGTATATACACATCTTCTTACTATATGTTCCATTATATGCATCTGATGAAGTGGGCTGTAGCCCACGAAAGCTTATGCTCAAATAAATTTGTTAGTCTCTAAGGTGTCACAAGTACTCCTGTTCTCTTTCCACCCGAGAAAGGCGTTTTAGATGATCAGACACGAGGATTAATTTGGGGCTGGATTTGTTTAAGCCAGAGAAGGCGACAGGATCAAAAGTTCTCAGTATCTGAATGAACAACGTGATATCTAGTTCACTTCAAGTGAGAGACTATTTGGTGGTAATGCACCAATAAATGGGCATAGAGAGACGATACTCAGATTGAGCAGGAGGAGGAGGAGGAGGAGGAGAAGATTGCTGTCTGCAGAAAAGCTCCTTGCCTTTTCTTTTTTAAACACACAAAGCTTAGCATCAGTCTGATGGAGACTCAAAGATAAAATGAAACAACTGAACAACAACAAAATAAGTCTGATGTGAAGAACCACCAGAAATCTAGATCCAGGATGATGCCTGACTAACACTAAGAGTCCTGAGTTTTCTTTACCAGACTCCATGTGCTGTGCCCTATTTCGTGCAATTAATAGTAATTTGGTTCATATCAGACCTCATAACCACATGAATACACAAGCAGGCATCGCTGTTTAGCTGTCCGATTTCTTCATGTGCACAAATGGCTCAATAATTAAATACAGATTGGGAGTGTAACAGGATTCAAATTAGAAATAAGCTGCAAATCTAGGGACTGAAAGCCCTTTCTTCTCTCTCCATTGAGCAGCTGTGCTTTAGTCATTATTTCAGAGATAAGCATGTTCGTGCTTATTAATGGCTTATTCCCTCATCATTACTTATACAAACACCTATTTTAAATACTATAGATGAGGCATTGAGTTTCTTACCCATGTGAAAAGGGTCACTGTGCACGGTAGGTGAAGGACTTCTTGTTGCTTGAAGGAAAGGATCACCAGTGGCATTTGATGAACCAAGAAAAGAACCCAGTAGATCCGGACCAGATTGCTTTGGGCTAGTTCCAAATGGGTCAAAGGCAGTTGCTGTAAAAATGCATTAGAGGTTAATTTCTCCATTTCACACCATGCTTTCCCTTTCTAATTAGTCTGGATTAGAGCTGTTCTCCTCAAAACAAGTAGGCATCATTTCTAACTCCCACAGACACTAACAGGAGGTAGGATGCAACCGGGAGAGACAGACTGATAACTGGGATTTACACTGAATATATAAAAGTATTCCAACCAAGTGCTACAACTCTAGGTTCTGTAGGATATATCCATGGCAACACAGATGCACATCCCATCTGTCTTATCCAAGGAGGATAACTGCTCCTAAATTCAGCTGAAGTTGGACGCTATAGGAACGTATGTTAAATTCTGACTTGCAGGCTGTGTGGAGAAATGAGTGAATAGCCCAGAAACTTCAGGTGTTGGAGTCTAACCCGTTCCCCTTCCTAAAACTATTTGAGAAATAAGATGCGGAGTGTTGGAAGTTCTCTAAAAGCTTTGAAGACACCCAGAGGATGTCACCAAGATTATGGAGTTTCCAAAAGGCTCTTGTAGAAATAGCTTTAGAGAAGCACTAGTGCCTTTCCTGTATATATGAACCATTTCCACATCTGTGACACGGGTACTGAGTTCAGCTCTTCCATAAATTCCGTTTTGAATACATGCTTAGCCCATCGCATTTTAACTTGGAGAAGCTGCCAACAACAAGGAGCAAAGTTTAAGGCGAGAGGGGAGCAATCTAATCTGACTACTCAAAATGTTATTGTAATAACACAGCACGTTACAGAAGACAATTCTGAGCTCTGAACACTGTACGCTAGTGAAGTTACACTTATGTGGTAGCAGCATCGGTCATGTTACTTAATAATCGAATACTGGCTTACTCACTCATTTGTCCTCCTTATTCTGCCCAAGCTGCTCATTTGACCACTACCTTCCTGCCCCTTAACATATGGTTCCACTCTGCCTGGAGATCCTTTCCTGACCCTAGTGGCAGAGCTGGCTCTAGGGGTGGGCAAGCAGGTCATTGGCCTGCGCACCAACTCCCAGGGGGTGCCTAACTGCTGTGCTTTTTATTTCCCCCATTTGCTGATTGGCTGGCTGGGTGTTTTGTTGTTATTGCTCAGCCGTTGGGGAGAGGGGGCCAAATGTGTTTTCCACCGTGACTGACAATGTCTAGGTCTGCTCCTGCCCTTTGCCACACCATCACCCTCTTAAGAGTGTTCTCACAAATCAACTTTGAGGCTCATAAACCACAATCATATCAGAAGCAAGATACTCAGGATGAGCATACTGCTCACACAAGGAACCTAGGTACCTTGGCCTTCACTCACTTCTTCCTTCTCCAAATCTGTCAGTGTCCTTCCATCCCCGCACCTCACAAAGATTATTGTTCTCATCATGGTTTAGATTGCAACGGTCGCAATTTTCAATTTGTTTTGTAGACACATCTGGTGTCTGTGCACTAGTAAATAAAAGTTTCCCTCTAAAAATAGGAGACTAGATTCACTGATTTTAGTTAGCTTTAGGATCTTCAGGAACTGGCTGTGAAAACCTCACATTTAGTAGGTGTTACTACAGTGAACTCTACTCAAGTCTTACACTGTGTTGATTTAGCACAAAAGTGGGCAAACTACGGCCTGCGGGCCACATCCAGCCCGTGGGACCCTCCTGCCTGTCCCCTGAGCTCCTGGCCTGCTGTTCCCCCTCCCCTGCAGCCTCAGCATGCTGTGCCACCGGCGCAATGCTCTGGGCAGCCGGGCAGCTCTGTGCTGTGCGGTGGCGTGGCTGGCCACCGGTGCTCCAGGCAGTGCGGTAAGGGGGCAGGAGGTTGGATAGAGGGCAGGGGAGTTCGGGGTGGTGGACAGGGGGCAGGGAGTTGAATGGGTGCAGGGGTCCCGGGGGCAGTCAGGGGCAGGGATTCCAGGGGCAGTCAGGGAGAAGGGGTGGTTGGATGGGGCAGGGGTCCCAGGGGGGGGAGGAGAAGATAGGGGGCGAGGGCCGGGCCACGCCTGGTTGTTTGGGGAGGCATCTCCCCTAACCAGCCCTCCATACAATTTCCGAAACCCGATGCAGCCCTCAGGCCAAAAAGTTTGCCTGCCCCGATCTAGTGCACTACAAGCGGATTTTAAAAAACACCACAGCATTAACACTCAGCATTTAAACGCTGTTAAATTGCAGAGGAAAAAAAATATATATATATTATCAGGAAGTTCAGCATATGCATTGATGAACATATGCTGCCGCTAAACAGGTTCTTTGAAACTAGGGCTAGGTCTACACGGGGGGGGGGGGGGGGGGGGATATCGATTTAAGATACGCAAATTCAGCTACGCGAATAGCGTAGCTGAATTCGACATATCCAATCCAACTTACCCCGCTGTGAGGACGGCGGCAAATCGACCGCCGCGGCTCCCCCGTCGACGGCGTTTACTCCTACCTGGGCTGGTGGAGTATGCGCGTCGATTCGGGGATCGATTGTCACGTCCCGACGAAACGCGATAATTCGATCCCCGAGAGATCGATTTCTACCCGCCGATCCAGGCGGGTAGCGAAGACAAGCCCCAAGACTGATAGTTGTGGGTTAAAAAGATAAACTGTCACAGCCTTTACCATACATTTCTTTAACTGGTTCTGAATGTGTGTTTTTTTTTTTTTCACTACGTAGGTATTAAGTTCTGCTTTACAGCTTTCTCTTAAAACAGAACAAAAAGCCCACCCACAATAGGGACACGCTGCAATTTAAGTATTGTGCCCAGTGATCTGGAATAGCTCCTCCAAAGCTTGCAATCAAGTTAGACCAGGGGTTTCCATTCTCTGAGAACTTGCAGCTGCCTTTGGCAAAGTTGATTAACCACTTCTCAGACTTTCCCCAATCTGGGCCTTTGAGACTCTGGCCTTCAGCATTTCCTTCATAGATCCTCTTCATTCCTCCTTTCCAAAAGGAGTCTGGCCCCAGTCCCTTATCTCTTACACTCAGCCTATGGGCAAACTCATCGACACTCAGTGTCAGTATCATCTAAACAGTCTGCCTTGTACTTTTCAGCAGGCAGGTATCAGAGGGGTGGCTGTGTTAGTCTGTATCCACAAAAACAACGAGGAGTCCGGTGGCACCTTAAAGACTAACAGATTTATTTGGGAATAAGCTTTAGTGGGTAAAAAACTCACTTCTTCAGGCAGGGAGGAGAGAGAATTTTTAATGTTTCAGTATTTGCCTGCTGAAAGAAGAGAGAAGGCAGAAATAGACAGAGATGGACTGCGACCACAGCTCCTCACCCCTCTGAGCTAAGAGAAAGTGGAGATCCAGACTTTGCTCTACAGGCCCATCTCTAGCATAAATCCAACAGCTGGTAGGTTAGAGCATACCCCTACCAGCCCCCACAGCGTCCCTCTAACTGGAGAATTATGAGAAATATCTGCTGGTCTTCACAGTTTGGAATCGTCAATTTCATTTAGATGGACATTGGGTCACTAAGATTTATGAATTCTAAAATATTCTCCTTCTACCTTTGTTACACAGTATCATTTTAAATAGTCCCCCAACACAAACTATAAACTTACAGAAATAAAATACTAAATGTCACCAATATAACTAATTCACCTGGACATGAGTGTAATGGACAGGTCCCTTCACCCGAGAAGTATGCGCGCACATTAGCAGGGCCCACTGAAAATGTAGTATTTGAGATTCCTCAGAGGGCAATGCTCTGTGTAGTGCAAAATGCCTTGGTTTCCTTGCAAGGCCTCACAGATACTTCAAATCCCTCCCTATGTAGAATCTCACTCGTCCATCATCTCTACTACAAGTCCAATAGCTCAGAAACGACTGTAGAATGAGCTTAACACTGGGATAACATCACACATTTGTACCAAGTCAGGCACTAGGCTAAGAAGTGTTACCTTCTCCTACTCTTGGGGATGGAGATGGAGATGCTGAAGCTGCAGAGCGTCGAGGGGTGGAGTGTGCAGATCCAGGCCCACCCACGTGAAAGACGTCCTCAGCAGCTGCCTGTCCACCTTGGCTGTGGGCCCTGGAACCACTGACCCCAAACAGATCACTCAGCAAGTCTGAGTTAGAGGGGAGAGCAGTGGACTGAGCAGGGAAATTCTTGCTCATCGGGCTACCGTCTAGACCCAGAAGGTCGACATCCTCAGGCGGAAGTGGTGCTGGAGGCTCTTGCTGCTTTTTGCTGTGTTTTGGAGTCCCATGGGTTTTGTCGCTGCTAGCATTGCTGTGCTGACTGGAAAGGGATAAGAGTTCATCGTCGGACTGTTCACTCTCCTCATGCACTAGGGCTGCCCGATCCTCAGAGGTGGGGTGAGAACTGCTTTTGTCGGATTTCTGATCTAAGTGAGCAAGAGAATTTACGTTAGCTGCCGGTCCTTTAGGTTTTTACATACACTGAGTTTATTAGCTTCCCATGGAAAAAGGCAGCAATAGCAAAACACACGTGTTCAGCTACATTTAAAATGGAAGTGCCTAATAAAGATTAGTTAAGTCCCAATCACTCTGTACCGTACAGAAATATCCACACTTTACCGATCGGGAAATTGAGCCTACAGAACAGGACAGCGTCAGAGCCTGGATGAGAACAGAAGCTGTTCCTCGGTCCAGATGTGGTGCCGCGACTGATCTGTCAAGGATTTCATTTATGGGGGACTAAAACACATGGCAAGGGCAAAAACGTAGAAGCATTTTAATGAAAGCATCACTTGAACTTGAATCCAGTTTTTTAGTTTGGTAGAAGGGGGAACCCTCATGCTGGATTCCTAAACTGTATGTTGCAAAGATGCTGCAGGAGACTTGTGCTATATAGGCTACAGGAGAGGTTCTCAAGCTTGTTCATAATGTGGAACGTGTTCTATTAGACCATTACATCCCATGGAACACCAACCCTCCCATTGGCAGGCACAGACCACTTCCTCCCTGTACGTAGTCACATAAAGGTGCCACAGGGATGTTGCAAGTGAAAGAGAAATACTGGGAAAGGCAAGTATTTTAAAACGGTCTTTTAATGGGTATTAGCAGCTGGAATCAATGGTTTTGAGTTTGAGATTATGAACCAACTACCTCAGTCAGATAAATCCAGGGCAAGTAGGCACAGTGATCTCACCACCGCAGAAGAAGGGAGTGTTCATTTTAACTCAAATTGCAGCCTAACCAGTAGCCCACGGTGATCTAATGGGCTTTCACAAGCTGACCCTTTGCTTGAGCAAATTCATCCTTTAAAAACTAGAGACAACTTTTTACAATACTTTGGCTGAAAATACTAGAGGCCAAGTCCAAGTACCTTGCCAGCTGAGAGAGGAGAGGAATGCCCCCTGTCCAACATTTTTTATGTTATCCTGAGGTGCATCTACAGAGCTTCGACCTGCAAGACAAAGAACCAAATGCACCAGGATAGAAGAAAGTCATAAAAGGGCGTCGTCAGCGTTAGAAGCTTAAGAATGTGCACAAAGCAGGGCAGTTCTCACCTGCCAAGGCGAGAGCATCTTGATGTTCCTGGTGAGAGGAGAAAAGAATGCTTGCATTGATGTCTTTTGTTGTGAAGTTCTCCCAGGGAGGAGTCAGGTCAGTCTGTCTATCAGCAGATTCTATTTCTATCTCCAGTGTAACGTGAAACAGCTGTGGATATTTTTCTGGGGAGTCACATGCATCCAGTTCAGGTCTAAATGTTGACAGAAAGCTGTTCAGTTAAAAGTAGTAAAGCAATTTTTTTTTTTTTTTTTTGCAGACACAAATAAAGTTTAAAGTCTTCAACGTGTGTATACGTCCACGTTATTGATTTTTACACTTTCCCCTATTCACTCCTAGCATCTTTTCAACTGCACACAAACAGCAGCAAAGTGGCAAGGATGAAGCAAGTGTCTGGCGTGTGTTACTATGAGATGAACTGTACAAATCAGCAAAGTTATTCTTTAGCAAGTGCCCAAGGAAGGAGAGAGGGGAGGGCAGAAATTGTACTCTAAAGACTCTTGTCTCACTCCATCCTAACAGTCCTCATTTCAAAAAAAATCAACCTCGCTTGTTGACAGATTGTGCTGCTGTCCGCACTCCGTCTATATTTTTCAACTGCTGTTGGGTCTCTACACTCCTCTTGAATAGAGATACTTTATTTAAAATAAAATGGAATCCGTTACCCAAATTAGTCTGCTCCAAGTTGCAAACTCGTTGCCATAAGGTAGATGTGGGCTAGGACACATCCCCAAATCAACTATTCCATATCTAGGCCTTGTTATTATACTGGAAACCACAGCCATGTTCTCCTACTCATCCAGTGATTGGACAGTCTGTAAATCAGTCCCCAAGAAAGTTCCTTGTCTCATCACATGGGTGTAGTCCTTGTCAAGCCAGTTCCCTCTGAGTCGGGGGAGTTGGTGTTCCCTTCTGTCTATTCTGTTACCTTCTCAATTATTGATTAGGAGCCTGAAGGCTGCATACTTCCTCCAGCCTTGACATTTCTGGTCTGCCATTTTCAGTTTCAGACCATTACTCATTTCTGCTCCCTGACCCAGTGTGGGGTTTCTACACCCCATCACATGGATCAAGCTGCCTTTTGACTGGACTCTACCACTTTGCAGTTAGGAGAAGTCAGGAAAAACAGCACAGTAATAAGCTATTGTCACTGCACCATGTAAAGAGCATACTCAGTATCTGATTTTGCAGTCTAATGAATGCAAAAGTTGTAAGCAGTGAACATTCTTAGAGTACTCAAGCCTTAGTTTGGTTATTTTAAAACTTTGTAAAACAGAGTTAATGAAATCAATACGAGACATTTCCCTTGAACACTTCTACAGAGAAAGTATCTTATTCCGTTCACCCATGAAAGGGAACAAGATCTTACCCATTTTATTGTTCCCCTCATCCTCCCATACGCCATACCACCATGCGGTCACCCTTGCAGGGGTTAGATATACCACAGACTGTATGCGAGGATCTGTTTGTTTTACCTATTAAGTTACCTGGGGCACTGAAAATAAAAGTTGCATCTCAGAAATTAAGACATTTACCTAGGATAACTCATGTTCTTGGATATTTTACCACAACACACCAGCCTTGGGGAAGTAGTGGGCATAACTCCCCTCCCCATTAAGCAGAGATAGGCAGACCTGAGCCAGCTGAAGGGATGTCCAGGTATTAGTTATACTGGAAACAAAAGGGGAGACTCGCCTTTCTAGGGAGGCTCAGCAAGTCCAAGAGTATTTTCCCTTTAAGGGACTTTCACTTAGTAGGCAGAAAATGTGAGTAAAACATTCTACTGTATATTCCAGGTGCTCCAGACAGCTCTCCTACTGCAGAGTCCAGAGTGGATATGAGCCAGCAAGACAAGAAGAGTGCACATCATGCATGCACTTAATATATTAAGTAACCTGGACCATTTAAAAAAAAAAAAAAAAAAAAAATAGGGAGGAAGAGGACCACTCATTATGGGAAGCCCGAATATTTTTTCTGCATTTTCACAATTGCCCATTATGTAGTTTGAGATTCACTGAATGAGTGGTACCTAGGGAAGAGTTGGCTCCCTCAAAGTAAAAGAAAAAATGGTTTGCAGAAAACCCTGTTTCTCATTTCCCCAGCACCTCAGAACAGGTATTTGAGAGACACTGGAATAAAAGTCTGACAATTTAGTCTTTTATCAGTAATGTTGTCAAAGCTACTCAGGCAGCAGATCTTAGAAGAGCTATTTATGCCCTATTTATATGCCAACATGCATTGGTTACTTTATCAAACTAGTCAGTGATGGTCAGATTATTTATATGCAGCTAACATGCTGAAGTTTGCGTGCAGTACTGGTCTCTGCTCTAAGAGGTACTTACTTTGTAAATTTTAGCATAGTTGTTCCCAGTGCTATGAATCCAGTATGAAATTGAATCTGGAAGATCTGTGTGTTTGTCATCTTAAAAAAAAAAAACCAAGAGATTAAATATACACATTTTAAATAAAGGGAAGTAATTCTCTAGATTTATACGATATACAAGCAGCTAATCAGTTCTACTTCACTAACTGTAACTATATAAGCAAATACTCCTGGGGGAATTCTGCATCACTGCACATGCGCAGAATTTATGTTCCCCGCAGATTTGCTTCCTTACAGAAAAATGACTTTCTGACAGGGAAGCAAAGGGAAGCCACAAAAGCAGTCAGGCGACCCTCCCCAGCAGCATGTTTTGGGGGCCCAGAGCAGCTGGCAGAGAGGTAAATCACTGTGGGGCAGGAGGCAGGACTGGGGAAGATCCAGCTGGTGGCTCCTATCCCGTGCCAGGCTCAGCTGCTAGTCCCGGTTGGGCTGGGGAGGACAGGACTTCCTCTTTCCTTGCACAGCAACCGGGGCCGGGTCAGACCCACCCCAGATTTCTCCCCCGGCCGAAGGAAGCTCTGCAAACTCTCCCCCTGGCTTTCTGCACCCATTGCTCCTCAGTTGCAGGGGAAGTGATCCCTATAGAAGGAGCTGCTCTCCCATCCGCCCAACCCCTGTGCATCCAGACCCCCTCATACCCAAACCCTCTCACTGAGCCTCACCCCCCCTCCCCCCGAAACCCCCCCCCCCCCCGCCCCCTGCCCCCCCCCCCAGAGCCCCATTCCTCCCGCCCCCAGAACCCCCCCCCCCCCCAAATAAGCCCCTGTGCATCCAGATCCCCCCTGCACCTGGATTCTCCACTGAGCCACCCACACCCAGATTGCCCCACACAGAACCCTCTCAATCCACACATGGATCCCCCCCACACACTTGGATCCTGCCTTGCTGAGTCTGGTGGGCACGGCCCTGGGGTGTTTCTGGGGCAGGCCGGTCCTTGTGCTGTGTCAGGGTTGGGTGCAGCCTCGCCACTGAGTCCATGTCCTGGGAGGAGCTGCACAGTGATCTCCCACCTCTGTGCAACCAGTGGCCTGCCATGCTGGAGCCTCCACATTTGACAAATAAAATGTGCAGAATTTTAAATTTTTCTGGCACAGAATGCCCTCAGGAGTAAAGTGAATGAAAGTCTTTACTGACACCTACGTCTTATTATGTCATCATCTAATTTGTTTTTCAAGCATACAACAGCTTTTCTATCTCAGAGTCCAATATCTCTGATCATCTTCAACTCTCCTTCCTTGCATGTAATTCAGAACACCTCAGTGCTGAGTAAACATTTCTCCCCTTTGTTCTCATTTCTCAAGAAATCTTAGTTTTATTTTAGTGATTTTATTATATATCTGTTCTGACAGACAACCATGTTGCCATTATGTATGTTAAAAGTCTGTTGACTTAATCCTGAGAGAATGCAGGAACTGTCCTCCTGCAAATGAAGACTCCACTCCAGCCCAGTCCACCCAGAGGATGATGAAATGGCACATTAGTAGGGCCTACCAAATTCACGGTCCATCTTGGACAATTTTAAAAAATTGTATGAGTGTGAAATTGAAAGTTTCATAATTTCAGCTATTTAAATCTGAAATTTCACGGTGTTGTAATTATAGGGGTCCTGACCCAAAAAGGAGTTGGAGGGAGGGTCACAAGGTTATTATAGGGGGTTTGTGGTACTTCTGCGCTGCTGCTGGCGGCGGTGCTGCCTTCAGAACTGGGGGGCTGGAGAGTGGTGGCTGCCGGCTGAGAGCTGCAGCTGGTATTGCCATCTTTACTTCTGTGCTGCTGCCTTCAGAGCTGGGCCCTCAGTCAGCAGCCACCACTCTCCGGCCACCCAGCTCTGAAGGCAGCAACACAGATGTAAAGGATGGCAATACCATATCACGCCACCCTACTTCTGTGCTGCTGCTGCCTTCAGAACTGGGCCCCTGGCCAACAGCCGCCGCTCTCCGGTTGCCCAGCCCTGAAGGCAGCGCAGAAGTAAGGGTGGCAATACTGCAACCCCCCTAAAATAACCTTGCAACCCTCCCACCCCCAACTCCCTTTTGGGAAAGGACCCCCAATTTGAGAAACGTTGGTCTCCCCTGTGAAATCTGCATAGTATAGGGTGAAAGAACACACACACACACACACACACACACACACAAAGACGATTTCACAGGGGAAGACAAGATTTCATGGTCTGGGATGAGTTTTTCATGGCTGTGAATTTGGTAGGGATTAGGAATGTGGAGATACTGGCTTGTTGCCGCCTCCTTCCATACGTGGCAGGGTAGGGATTCCAATGGGCCATTGCTTCAAGCTAGTTACTGGCAGAGGGTCTTTTGGTCTAGCAGCTGGAGGGACCCTGCCTGGCCCCCCTCCATACAGCGCCATCAGCACTGTCACTGCCTACTCTGAGCTTCACTCCTAAAGATTTGGAGAGGTTGGGGTCATGCCAAACGTTTTTATGGCTACTTTGCCTCCTTCCACTTCAATCTGAGTGCCAGGGTCAGTCTTTGACTCAGTGTTTATGTTGTGCGTATCAAAAGGTAGATCAAACTATACTTTTGCTTGAAGTCGTCCCCCAATGGTTGATCTCATATGGTAGACAGAAAGGACAACATCTCCATGAACAGTAACTCCTAATGGAATTAGGACTTTCCCTTCTTGCATACGGAATTCCCTTTAAAACAAATGAGGAAGAAGTCCATTGTTATGCTCACTTCAGCAGTACCATTAAAGTTATTGCTTGTGTACTTTAAAAATACATAATCTCAAAACTCAGACCATGATTAGTTGGTAGAAGTAGCATTCTGTTCTCTGGCTAGTTGTCAGTTGAAACAGTAATGCTTCACATAGAACTACTAGTATAGTGCTGAAATATACCAGGGGTAAGCCCCAGCACCTCATCACAGAAGTTCAGACAAGCTCTGGCAGTCGAGATTTAACACTGGGCATCAACTTTCCAATAACATTTTCACTTCTAGTAGCATTATCTTGCCCAATTTAATCACAGTCGGGGAAAACAAACCAAAAACGCCCACCCACCCACCCGGAGCCTAGGAAATTAGATGTATTACACTAAAAAAAGAACTTATTAGCATCATTAAGAGATAAGAAAGCCATAGTAACTTACTTCATTCTTTCATATTCCTGGGAGGTTGTAAAGATTCTGGTTTCTCCAATCAGAATGTCACAGAAGGGTCGACACCCATTTCTCTGTTTATTGAAACAGGGGACCGGACTGAGAGAGACTGATTTGATAGTAAGAGGCTTACAGTGAGGGTGGATGGGCTTTTCTGCTATTAGATCACAAATGTATCCAAGGTATCTGCAACAAAGAGAGCCATTACCAAATGATCCCATCACTAGGGCTGTCAATAAATTAAAAAAATTAATCAGAATTAATTGCACTGTTAAACAATACTAGAATAGTATTTATTTAAATATTTTTGGATGTTTTCTACATTTTCAAATATTTTGATTTCAATTACAACACAGAATGCAAAGTGTACAGTTATCACTTTATATTTATTACAAGTATTTGCACTGTAAAAAGAATAGCATTCTTCAATTCACCTCATATAAGTACTGTAGTGCAATCTCTTTGTCGCGAAAGTACAACTTACAAATGTAGATTTTTTTGGTTACATAACTGCATTCAAAAACAAAACAATGTAGGCTTTCAAGTTTTACAAGTCCACTCAGTCCTACTTCTTGTTCAGCCAATTGCTAAGACAAAAGTTTATTTACATTTGCAGGAAATAATACTGCCTGGTTCTTGTTTACAACATCACCTGAAAGTGAAAAACAGGCATTCACACGGCACTTTCATAGCCGGTGTCGCAAGATATTTACATGCCAGATGCGCTAAAGATTCATATATCCCTTCATGCTTCAACCATCATGTGTCCAAGCTGATGACGGGTTCTGCTCGATAATCCAAAGCAGTGTGGACCAACACATGTTCATTTTCATTATCGGAGTCAGATGCCACCAGCAGAAGATTAATTTTCTTTTTTGGTGGTTCAGGTTCTGTACTTTCCACATTGGCGTGTTGCTCTTTTAAGACTTCTGAAAGCATGCTCCACACCGCGTCCCTCTCAGATTTTGGAAGGCACTTCAGATTCTTAAACCTTGGGTCGAGTTCTGTAGCTATCTTTAGAAATCTCACATTGGTACCTTCTTTGGATTTTGTCAAATCTACAGTGAAAAAGTGTTCTTAAAATTAACAACGTGTGCTGGGTCATCTGCCATATATTTCATATTATAGCAGTCTTGGATGAATGCAGGTAAAACAGAGCAGGGAACATACAGTTCTCCTCCAAGGAGTTCAGCCACCAATTTAATTAACACATTTTTAAAATAGCGCTGTCAGCATGGAAACATATCCTCTGGAATGGTGGCCAAAGCATGAAGGGTCGTACGAATGTTTAGCATATCAGGCATGTAAATACCTTGCAATGCCGGCTACAATAGTGCCATGCAAATGCCTAGTCTCACTTTCTGGTGACATGGTAAATAAGAAGCAGGCAGCATTATCTCCTGTAAATGTAAACAAAAACTTGTTTGTCTTAGCGATTGGCTGAACAAGAAGTAGGACTGAGCGGACTCGTAGGCACTGAAATTTTACTTTTTTTGTTTGAGTGCAATTATGTAGCAAACAAACAAACAAACAAAAAAACACACTCCAAAAACCTACGTTTGTAAGTTGCACTTTCATGACAAAAAGAGATTGCACTACAGTACTTGTATGAGGTGAATGGAAAAAAAATCTTTTGTTTTTTATTACAAATATTTGCACTGTAAAAATCATAAACACACACTTTGATTTCAATTACAACACAGAATACAATATATATAAAAATGTAGAACATCCAAAATATTTAATACATTTCAATTGGTATCCTATTGTTTAATAGTGCGATTAAAACTGCGATTAATTTTTGAGTTAATTGCATGAGTTAACTGCGATTAATCAACAGCCCTACCCAGCACACAATTATCACTTCTGTTTTCTAGAAGAGAGGCACTTGGAGAGCATAAACTTGCAATGAGCTGCTTGTAAAGTTCTAAGAATGAAATTTTGTCAGTATTTGTACAACAGACTGCCGTCAAGCCACAAAGCAAGCAATGTAAGCATTTTATGCCAATTCTGCATTTATAAATAAAGTCTATACTGCACAAAATTATATATACACATACACACACACCAGCCAGTCTCAGAGCCCAGAACGACAGACTTGGTGCAGCAGGATTGTCTGTTTGGTCAGCAGGCCTAGGGGTCAGCACCTGCTTCTCCAGTCTCTTTTAGTTCAATGTGTCCTAAACTCCTTGAATGGGGTTCAGCTGGATCGGCCTCCTTGTTGATAACCCCCTAGTCCTGCCCGTCCCAGGGCTAGGCATAGGGGAATCTGGAGTAATTAGGGGGACCCAGGCCCTCTCATTCCACCAAGGATGATAGCATGGTATGACCTATGCTTGGCCCACCTTCTGCCCACCTTCCCCACCCAATGCCTCAGTTTGAAGTGGGATGGCTGTTTACTTATAGTCCTTTGCTTCGAACCCCAGAATCTCAGGGCTGATGCAGGTGACCCTCTGGTGCCCCTACCTCTTGGGTGATGTCTAAAAGGCAGGGGGGGAGGAGGGGGAAGGGGGGAAATGGAACACTCACAGCCAGACCTCCTTGGTAAGAGCTTCTCCTCCTGTCTCAGGGCAGTGCTTCTCCAGGAAATGGCTTCTCTCCTACCCCCAGCCTGGGCTGCTGGAACTCTTTATATTCTTTTCCCCAGGAGTACGCTTGGCAGTACGTGAGGGGCAGAGCTTTCCTGACCCAGCACTGCTGGACCCTTTTCCCTGCCTGAGCCTTAGTGTGGCTTTGGAAACTCCATCACACTTGGGCTCATGCTATGGTGCTAAAAATAGCAGTGCAGATGATGTTCCCACTCTGGTTGAGACCCACCCCCCTTGCAGGGTTCCAGAGTTTGAGGGGGGGAACATCTACACTACTATTTTTAAGTGCTGTAGCAGGAGCCCGAGTCTGTAGATTCGGGCTCTGAGATTCCCTTTTGCCGGTGTTTTTTTTTTTTTTTTTTTTTGCAGTGTAGATATACCCTTAGAGAGCAGTTAATTTAGCTCCAGTTAAGTGGATTGGAGGGTTTGTTTCTATAATGATCCTAAACAGCACTTTTGGAAAAGAAAAAATAATGACAAATCCAAAACTTGCCAGGACACAGCAATGCTGCTTTCAGTTTAACTAGGCTAAGTATCTTAGGGGTTTAAACTTTTGTTTCTACATACTTATCACTGCATTTTTTCTGTTCACTCTGTGGGAGCCTGCCAACAGGCTATTCTTCAGTTGCAAGACAAACCTACTGTAAACAAGATGTTTTACACAGCAAGTTTCTGATTGGACAAACGGTCATTTGGGGGGAAGTTTGAAGCAATATTAAGCCCAGACTTGTCTTAATTTTTTTCAACCTAAGGAACAAAGTCATCATAAACAAACAGCCTTCATCTATTAATCCTTGGACACAATTTGAGGAAAACAGCACTCACTACTCTCACTTTACACAGGGTGAAGCTAGGACACAAAGACTAAGGAACTTGCCTGACACTACATTAGGGTTACCATATTTCAGCAAGCAAAAAAGAGGACGGGAAGAGCCCCGCCCTAGCCTCGCCCCTGTCCTGCCCTAGCCCCGCCCCTTCCACTCCCTCCCACTTCCCGCTCCCCTCAGAACCCCCAACCCTCCCCCCGTTCCTTGTCCCCTGACTACCCCTCCTGGGACCCCTGCTCTTAACTGCCCTCCAGAACCCCACCCCCTACCTAAGCCTCCCTGTTCTTTGTCCCCTAACTGCCCCCTCCTGAGACCCTACCCTCTACCTGTACCGTGACTGCCCAAAACCTTATCCACACCCCC